TGCCTTTTTTTTCTTTTTTTTTTTTTTTTACCTATTCAATTTCTACTGTATTCTTGTTTGGATAAGGAAGACAGAAATACATACAGTACACAATGTGCAGACATTCTTTGGGTAACCATCGTGACATAATGATGTTTTCTGGTTTGGTCTTTAATCCTTTCAGTTTGTTATTTTATATAAAACTGATCACTGAGTGAAAACATTCAAAGTTATATTAGAACAGAAGTAGTAGTTGTCAGCAACAATCCCACTTTTATACACCTTTAATATTGGTTGTTTTGCTATGTCTATTATTTTACATTCTTGTTGACCATAATTTGTTGCTGTATCCCTGAATGATAACTTGATCATTGAATCTCATATAGTTTTTCTGAAATTCTTTACTGTTGGACTTCATCTTTACAGAAGATGAAGGACCTAGTCAAATCAGAAAGCTTGTCATCTTAGACGTTTCCACATTTCTAGATCATTTAAATAAATGTTGGACAACAGGACTTCCAGAACAGATCCCACTAGAACTTCACTGGTATACACTTTGCACTGTGAAAATGGAATAAAACATTTTAAACATGTGTTTCTTTTTCTTAACCAGATCTGGTTGAACATTCTCAATTTTATAGCTGCTATAGAATGTAAGTGAAAGTAAGCATAAAAATTTATGCTGACTGTGAACAGCTGCTTTATAGAGTCAGCTGGAGATCTTTGTTAAATTCAGATAGGCTACTTACACCTGCTCTGTTTTGTTAAAAAAAACAGTGGTTTTGTGAGACATTAATTCACTTTAAAATAAATGCATCAGTTTCTTCTTGGTACATGCCCAATAATTGCTTTGTTTAGAATTTCCTGCCTATTTGCCCATTACAAAAATCAAGCTTATTGGTAGGCTCTTACTTAAATTACTTTGGTTAATATTTTTCTAAGTAATCTGTTCTTTCTTTAATGTTTGGAGAGTTGAAAATACTAAAAAAAGTTTGAAGTAATCTGTTCGTGACCCTTCTTATTCTTTCAGTTTATATCACTGAATGGAAAAAAAAGGAATGGGTTTCTGCAATGGGAGAGGAAGTATCAATTTTCTCCACAGAGTTCACTCTAACACCTGAATAAGAGTGGTTCCTGAAATTTCATAAGTGCATTACAGGAAGCATTGCCTTTGATTTTGAATTTGCTATTCCTTGACACCAAAACCATCACAGAATTCTATCCTCGTGATTTTCAGTCCTGAAGAGCCAGCCATTCAAATAATCCTCTCAACTAAGAGCAAAACAGAAATTCGAAAGTTTATCCTCCCAAGTATCTTGGGCAATAAATTCTAACCCAGATTATTGAAGACAATCACCGATGATGTCCAGTACAGGAAAATATTTTCAGTGACAAGAGGATATACACCCTCCCAACATCTTTAAACTGAACTACTATGCAGTGGAAAGACTTCTGTCTCTGAGAATATCTGCAGCCAAACGATTCTGAAAAAAAACAAGCAACTCACCAGTCAGCATGAACTGATAGGCATTGTCAGAGATGGAGAAGATGTGTGGAGGGGCCTCCTGGCGCTTTTTGCCTCGGTAGGCCAACACCACCTCCGGGTTGTACACTGGCAGCCACTTGTAGGGGTTGACGGTGACACAGAAGAGACCCGAGTAGGTCTGCGAGGAAGGGAGACCACATGGGCTTCTGCTCAGCCTGGCACAGCAGGCCTTCCAGCTACCCAAAGGAAGAGAGCTGCTGGTACTTACATAGATCATCCAGGCTGCATAACGCTCTTTGAGGTTGTACAGCACAGCGGGTTCATGGAGGTGGGTCATCATGGCCATGTCCTCAATTTTATCATACTTGGGAGGGTTCATGGAGAAGATTTGATCTTCCTTCACGGTCAGAGTCTGGCAGAGGAAAAAAAGAGATCCAAGTATGTCAGCTAGGGGCTGAGAGTGGTAATTACTTTAAGTTTTTAACCCTTGCTTTTAACTTACTTCTCCTGCTTCGGACTTAACAGTGACCTTCCCAGATTCCCTGCTTTGGATTGTTCCTTTCACAAAAGATTCCTTTGGATGTACCACAAAGACTGAGGATTTGGCATCAAAAGGCTTGTTCTGGGCCTCAATTCTTTCCTTTTCTGACTTTCGGAGGTAGGGAGCTGCCTCCCCAAAGGCAGCCATCTCAGCATCTGGAGAAGTCATGTCTGTACTTCACTAAAGACAGATTGGTAGAGGACCCTGCAGGACAAAATAAACATAGCATCAGTAATATTCTGTGCTTGCAAGGATACCATTCCTGATGTTTTAATGTTATGCACATGCTAGAATTCCTAACACCTAGAAAAATTAAATTTCCTCCTGTCTAATGATTTAAACCCAGAAGAGAAAATTTTTCCATCCTTTAACAATAGGGAATAAGCTTTTAAAAATTAGTATTATTTTTGTCTTGTGACATTGGTGACATTGTACAGATAGTACAATACCTTTCCAGGTTGTACAAATTGTACAAGGTCATATTTTAAAGTACAAAATACATTAAAGGAACATTCTTATTGCTATCCTTTTTCCTTTTTTTTTTTTTTTTTTTTTTTTTTTTTTTTTTTTTTTAATACTGATAAGGAATATACAAATACCTTGAAAGAATTTGGAAAAATTTCAAAACCAGCTTCAGCAGTAATAATACTGCTAAATATACAAAGTGGGATAAGTAATTTCAACAAATTATTAGACCCAGCATACTTACCTTGAAGCTTTCCTTGAAGACAGAGCAGAGAGCTCCAAACACACTTTTATAGAGTCTGGTATGCAGATGCCCTGGATTCCTCCTCTTTCTTCGGTCAAAATATTTTTTGGCAAGCATTATTTGGCAAAGCATTGTCTGGCAAACTTAACTAAGGGTATAATTGTCATTTGATTTGACTAGATATATTTAGAAATGTTTTTTATCTTACCAACGATGTGAATGTGTCTACTATAAATAATTTGACAAGAGACTTAAGAAGAGAATCTCGATTAGTCAAGGCACTTGGAGAACTTGGATGTAGGACTTATAGACTCTGTTGCTACATGTCCAGTGCTTTCCTCCTTGGCCCAAAAGCAGATTTTTTCCATGCCTGTGCTGCAACACTTCCAGTTGCACCATACAGATAACATCTATCTTTTACACGTTCTGTTCAGAGGCTAAAGTAGAAACGTATTAAGAGCATTAAAGCAGTATGTAGAAAAAGGCTAAATTGTTCCTGTTAACTGAATTTATTTACTATCTTCAAGTGATACTTCAAATGAGAAACACAATGTGTTTATCTAAACTGACATATGACATTCCTGGAATCTGTGAAAATATGTGGCAAAACATCTTGAGATGCAGCTCAAGAAAAAGAAAACAAATGTATTTTTGTCTCTCTATCCTACAGAAAGATACAGAAAAAGATGTGCAATTATAGAGTTAAGTATGGATAAATATGTAACTTTTAAATAATTGCACTTTTTTAAAGGGGAAAGTGATATAACACAGATGTGACAAAACATGAAAGAACCAAACATGTAAAGAATCATTTTCAAAAGCCTTATGCCTATGTCCCATATTTGTTTGTACCCATTGACAACACCCATCAAGCAATATCCTCAGCCTCAGAAATCCATGGAGGTCCCTGTAGGCCTTCACTACCTACAACAGCAAAAAAAAAACAAACCCCTCCACCCAACCACAACTCTGCACACAATCACATACGTACAGTCTGAGATCCTATGTGATCTGACACATTACCAGTCCAGCATTCCTATCCTATCCCAAATATCTTGCACACTTACACATTCATTCCAGCCAAAAAAAAAAAAGCTATCAACACAATGCTGCCTGTATCAGAGCATGTGAGGTGGTACGCAGTCCGGCAGTCCTGTAAAATGCTGATGCTTTTCATGGCTGCAACACTTCTTCACAACAATTATTTAGAAAGCAAAGGACATTTATTTATTTATGACCGAATTTAACACAAGAGCAATTAATGAATTAAGTCAAATATGTAAAGAGCTTCATGGCTGCCTGAACCTAACACATAGCCACAGTTCCTCTGAGCTTTCTGAAGGACATGGAAAGAGCTGACTAGGAGTGAAGCGGTATTCAGCACGTGACAGATAAGGCAGAAGAGCAGGAAAAGCAAAGCTGCAGCAAAGGTGTAGGGAAGTATAGTAGAAAAAAATCTTTTTCACCAGATAATTTGCTGGTAGTCCTGGAGAGTGACTGATCTAGTTCTAGGAAAAGGGCACTGTCACTTGAGCTGCTTTAAATGCTGTCAGATCTAAACATGCTCTTCTTCTGGTTACTGGCATTTTGGTTATTAAAAGCTCTGTGCATGAAGCTCAGTGAATGCCACAGGGACGAGGTTAGAAAAATGATCCAATAGCCAGCACCAGGCACTGTCCTGTGCTTGAAGAGCTTGTTCCAAGGAGGGCTCTGGCACTGCAGCACCCATCTTTTGGGTGCCCAGGGCCCCAGCCAGGAGCTCAAGCCCAGAGCAATCCCTGGGGGCTCCCTGCACAGGTCATGGAGACGCTGATGGAAACACATTGCACTCTGCCATGGAGGAGACCAGAGCCAGTCAGTGGGAAACGCGCTTCAGGGTTGTACCTGAAATCCAGCTTCTCTGGGCAATCTCTGACTTCCATTCACATGCAGAAGTTAGAGGATGACAATAATTCCAAGACAATTCCTGTATAAATACTGTGAGCCCAACTGACCATGGGTGGAGTTGCGGGGAGAGGTAAGGAGCTGACTTTCATTCAGACTTGGAATGAAAAATACTCCAAGCAAAATTCTCCAGATTGTTGCATATGGCGGTTCGGTCTTCATGCTGAAAATACTTTTGTACAGTGAGCTTAGCCAAAAACTACACAGCCTCTCCATCACGTAGTGCTACTCCCACCTCTGAGGGGGTAAGTGGTGCCAGATGCACCTCCTTACCTCTCTGTCAGTTCAAAAGGGTCCCGTCAGCCACCAACTTTCTGTCATTTCTGTTTTCGTTGCTACAGAGCCTGGAGCCCACTGGGACTAGAACCAAAGCACAGCACAGCACAGCCAGAAGAGACAGAACGAGAGAAATCTCTGAAAACAGACATTCCTGCACAGCAGCACTGTGTGGGCGTTGTGCTGGCATTCCCCAGAGAGGAGAGGGCATTCACACATGCTGGAAATAGATTCCACCTCACTTTCTGCAGGTCCTTATGATATGAGTTTCCTTGCCTTGTGTTCAGTGAGCATGAACTGAGGCAGACACTCGTGAGCACCAGTGAAGTACAAGCATGGAGCACTGTCAAGGATGTTGCATTTGTGGCCCATTGCCAACCACACTCTCAGCTCTGCTTTTTAGAGCAGCAGCATCAACCTTGCAACCTGCCTAGTTAGAAGGAAATTCCACACCCACTGTCTTCTGCTTAGGTCCTCTGCTCCTTCTAGCCCGGACCAATCTGAGCAGGACCTCCTAGCTAGCTGTAACGACAGAAGATGCATGGCTGCAAGTCACTGGCCTGGCCTCCTCTTCAGACCCATTGGTCTTCTTTTCTGCCCGGAAAGAAGCAAGCAAAGTCAACCCAGTTGGACCATGTGGGAATCAACAAGGAAAGTTCAAGAAGGCATCTTCTTAGGAGTCAATATGTTTGATGTAAGATTTAACCTTAGCAGCTGGTGAATTCCAGTAGAGCAAAGAAGCTGTTGGTGAGCTCCCCTCTAAGACTCTGAAGAAGCACAGCATCAAGGTCACCACCACACAGTCTGTGCTTAATGCTTCACTATAGCAGCAGGTACCTTTGTTACTGATATTAGTTTCCTTTAACCATGTGGCCATAATGAAGCAGTTGAACGATGGACTTCACAAATATTTTGAGGTGATGTATTCATGGGGACATGATACAATAAACCATTGCACCTTTCCTAAGCCATCCTGAAGTGCCAGGTGATAACATAAAGTCCTCTTCTTCCATGAAGTTTTATCTGTCTCTTCATCCTCCCATAGAACATCTTGCCACAGCTCACGGAGGTTGCACAGCTGTCTTGAGCCACACTGGACAGCATGGCCTAAACTGCCATCAACTAGTTGCGCCTGCTAACCTGGCCATTCTCATTAGCTGCTTCTTTCCCAGGAGCTCCTCCAGCTATTTACTCTTTCCTCCACCAATCCCTCCAGCTACACCTTCCTTCTTGACATCCACGTCCCCCAGCTGCTTATGCCCTGCTGGCAGCTCTAGCTAGCTGCTCCAATTAATCCCTTTAGCACTGATGACTGAGTTGCTTCTTCAAAGTCTACTGACTGTGGCAAGACCCATGGAGCAACCAGAGAGGAAGAGGTTTGTGCTACTGAACGGGTGTGGTTGAAAGAAGCCAACAAACCCGCACACAAGAGTAACATTTCCTTCCCACTCTGGCACGCTGGTCACTTTGTTGGACATGTCCCCAGGAACAGATAACTACAAAACACAATTCAACCATGTTTCCGGCCTGCCCACTGATTTCTTTTGTCATGCAGTGCTTTCTTTTGACAGTGAAACCTGTGACTGTCAATGACCAGGAAGGTGTCTCTTGGTCCTGCATGCTGCAGGAGGGATACTGATTCATACCAGCCTGCTGACATTCTTTTAGACCTCAGTCCTGCTTCATACAAGGTCTCAGCTTGACCTTTTGATTCTTGGCAGAAAGCATTTACCTGTCCTGGGCCTCAAAGAACCTGTTCCCAGCCAATCTGGGCTGGGAACCCCAGATGCTGCTGGAGCCATTGTTTCACTTATCTATTACACATCCTGTTAAGTTCAGTCCTTAACACGTCTCAGATAAAAGAATCAACCACCTCCAGAAACTGCAGAGGCCAGAATGGAGTCAAACTCTTTCTCAGTGGTTTCTTAAATGCTTATGTGGAATGCTGTTAAACCTACTACTCTTCTGCTAATCCCAGAAACATGGGATAGAGTCTGCAGACCTGGTAGACTGGAAAAAGCAATCCCTGTTGGATTTGCAGCATGCTAGTGTTTTTATCAGCCATGCTGCTCAGATTAGCAGAACATGCTTGTAGAGATCAGCGTGCCCTGTGAATTGCCTGTGGATATTGCGACATGGAAGAGTGGCCTCAGGCTACCGTGTAGCAAAACAGACTTGACGGAGAATGCTGGTTGCTGAAGTGGCAGCTACAGCAGCGGTAAGAGGTCAGGGTGTCATCAAAGCATCCACATTTCCTTCCTTCCTTCCTTCCTTCCTTCCTTCCTTCCTTCCTTCCTTCCTTCCTTCCTTCCTTCCTTCCTTCCTTCCTTCCTTCCTTCCTTTGTGATTTGTTTCACACAGTGAATTTTCTGCCATGGGGCTAATAAGACGGTGTCTTTTATGGGTGGGGTTATACAACACTTTATATGTGAAAAAATAAATCCATTATAAACTTCCATTCACATAATGGGTTGGGATTGTGTTTGCTTATCAAAAAGCCAAGGGTCTTAGCAATGAAGCAAAAGCATTTCCAGTATTAGCGGAGACAAGAGGAGTTTGAAAACATCTGTGGCAAGAAGTGCAGCTTTAAAATGGTGTTGTCAGTTATGCTGCAATAATTTAATTAGGCGTGCTGAGAGAGATGTCACCGGACCCAGTGGGCCATGTGACAGGGAATGCCCATGGGTTCAGCAATGTTTCTGCTGTCCACTGTGTAAAAGGAGAACTCTCAGAAATGCTAGACATAGCTGAACAGAAATGCTGGCACTCTAATCCTTTGGAGGAAAAGTCTTCTTTGCTGTCCCTCTGCTAAGACATGGCTGAGCCTTGCAGCCTGAGTATGCTATGGCCACATTTCTCATTAAGAAGCCTGTTCTGCTGATGGGCATCGAGTCACGTTAAATTAAATACAAGGAGTGTTTTTTCCACTCCTAGCATAACATCTCTATGCCATGTAGGTTAATGTCTATTCAATTTGTGGGTTATTTGATTAAGACAAAAGCTGTATCGCGCTAGCCCTGAAGAGACAGGGATGGCCTTTTGCCACCTCTTAATCCTGCTCCTCCACCCAGAGACCAATTTCTGCAGGTCTTTGCTGCAAGAAGGCAAAAGGGAAGTGAATGCATCTTTCCTTTAGAGAGTTTGATTTGCAGCTCTTTGTATTGTTTGTGTCTTCTCTTTCCAGCAATGACCTTCTTACCATGGCTTCCTGCCGCCTGAAAACCACTGAGCATCTCAGTGGAGAAGGAACAGATTGCCTGACCAGACAGGTAAGCAGAGAGGCTGGTAGAACAGACCTGTCATTTGAAGATGGGTTGCACTTGAATGAGTGTCCAAGCTACACACTCAGACACTTCTTTTGCTCTCAGCTAATGTCCCTGGAAGCTATCGTAGTTGGGTAGCAGGTCTTGGCTGAGAAGGTGACCTTCTGAATAGCCTTTCTTTCCATTACCCATCAAAGCAAATGGAAGGCTCCTGTTACAGAGGAGGTGGGGAGGGGAAGAGGCCTCTGTGGTAAGAGGAGGGGTGGAGACAGGTCATAAATTAATTAGTAAGAAAAAAAAAATAAGAAGGAAAAAAATAGTAAAAAAAAAAAATAGTAAAAAATAGTAGTAAGAAAAAAAATGAAAAAAAATAAAAAAAATAAAAAAAAAAAAAGAAAATCTTACTCCTGAAAAAGAGTGGTGATCAGAAAGGTTCTCAGCCACTGTGGCTGTATACAGGCTTGAGTTTTCTGTCTGACTGCTGGACTGCTAAGGAAGGGTGCAATACTGACACCTTTAACTTCAGTGCTTAAAGCATCTATGTGATTCTAGAGAGCATCTGCCAAGTGCCAGAAAGGACTGCGGTATGGGTACACTGCCGAGTATACTTTTGCTAGGGCCAGATATTTTTCAAAGATGTTTTACACAGCTCTTTTTAGAACCACAGAATGTCTCAGGTTGGAAGGGACCTCAAAGATCACCTAGTTCCAACCCCCCTGCCATAGGCAGTGACCGTGTCCACTAGATCAGGTTGCTCATCCAACCTGGTCTCAAACACCTCCAGCAATGGGGCATCCACAACCTCTCTGGGAAACCTGTTCCAGTGACTCACCACCCTCTGAGCAAAGAATTTCTTCCTAACCTCTGATCTAAATCCCCACTCTTTTAGTTTAAAACCATTCTCCCTTGTTCTGTCATTGTCTGACTTGAGCAGAGTCACTCTCCATCTTTTTCAAAAGTCCCCTTTAAGTACTGAAAAGCTGCAATGAAGTCACCCCAGAGCCTTCTCTTCTCCAGGCTGAACAGCCCCAGCTCTCTCAGCATTTCTTCATAGGAGAGGTGCTCCAGCCCTTGATCATCTTCGTGGCCCTTCTCTGGACCTGTTCTAACAGATTAACAGCCTTCTTGTGCTGGGAGCCCCAGACCTGGACACAGTACTCCACAAGGGCAGAGTAGAGGGGGACAATTCCTTCCCTCAGCCTGCTGGCCACTCTTCTGTTGATGCACACAGCATGCTTCTGGGGTGCAGGCACGCACTGCTGGCTCATGTCGAGACAGTAGAGTTGACTTGGGCAAGCTCCTTTAGCTTACTGCATGCGATCCATCTCTGGTCCATGAGGATGGGTACAAGCCCCTGCCCACTTGAATGGTAAATCATCTGTGTAAAGCAGTCCAGCTCCAGCAGGAAACAGTGACAATGACCTCCCACCAGGCAGCCAGCCATAAGGGTGCTAGGGTGCTGGTGCCCAGTGGGGGAGACTAGCAGCTAGAGGATCTAACAGTGCTTGCACACCCTGTCCTGTTGAGATTCCCTGCTCATGCTACTAAAGTCTGCTAGGAACTGATCTTTATATCCATGTGGGTTGTATTTGGGAAGGCATGAGTTTAACCTGAGAGTGATGGCGACATTGTTTGAGCTCCAAGCAGGTCGCATAGAGGAAAATGTATCCTGTGTCCTTTCCAGTTCAAGGTGCAAAAGCCATGGCACTTTTATCACTGCTTTGCCAAGCATCACTATGTCTATCGCTAGCTATCGCTATGTCTAGCGCTATGTATGTCGCCTGCTGCCCAGATCAGGTTCTTCAGCCCCCTGAGAAATGCCTCCAGTTAGCCATTATCTTGCAGAATGCCTGGAGGGTCTTGGAACAGAGCCATCCTATGACCCTGCACTGCTGCCTGCCTTGCACATTAGGTAAACTCGGGCTTTACCTCTATAGGCTCCTATTCCAAAGCTTTGAGCATGGTCAGAGTCTCTGTCGGTGGTGTTTTCCTTAGATGCTTCTTATTTGCCACACACCTTCTCCATCAGAGTTTCGTCAGCAGAGCAGCAGTGCGTGGGACGGATCTGAACCTGGTGAGAGTGGCATTACAAGTAGCACACCTCGTAACACCACTTCCTATTAGTTCCTAGTATAGAGGAACTACTATTGTGATTTCTCTGCCTTTGATTTGCCACTTGCAATCTTGCCCCAGTCACTAAGTGATATAGAAGGGATGAGCCACTGGGAAGCAGGTGACAGAAAGCTGTACCGTGATGTTGGTATACAGAGGCTATAACCAAAGCTGTGCCCAAAACCAAATGATGATAGAGACCTAACCAGTAAAAAGAGAAGCAGATGAGAACTAATGCTCATGGTGACCATGTGAAGTAATCTACAGACTTTATTCCCTATGTATGCAGGGGGCTACAAATCCCAGTTATGGAAGAAGTGACAGAGGGTTCACATTTTGTGCACCCCTCAGGCCACTTTGCTGCCACGTGACATCTTCACTCTTCCTCTTCTATCTTCTTGCCGTGAAACTCCCGGCTCTTTGCTCGGAGCTTGTTGACCTGTGACTCTGCAATGTCAGCCCGCTCCTCAGCTTCCTCAAGCTCGTGCTGGATCTTGCGGAATTTGGAGAGGTTGACATTGGACAGCTCCTCCTGTGTGGGGAGAGGGAGTTGGTGGTGAGGAGCCTGGGGCAGGGGTTTCACTCCTCATGTGCCTGGGCCTCGAAGGGCTGTGGTGAAGCACAGGCCTCCCGTCTCCTATCTACCACCGCTGACCCAGAACCCCCTCAAAGACCTCATCATCCTCCCTTATTGAGGACCTCAGTGTGACAAACTGCCGTGTCACTCTTGAGGAGCAATTTTGTCACGTGGTCTTCTCATTTTGTGTGCTTATTCTCCTACTACTCGGTGCCCAATTTTCCATGTGGTTTATTAGGTTGAGAAAGACTCAGAAACTCTGTGCTGTTACCAGCGTCAGAGATTCATGAGCTTCTCAGTCAATGGACTGAGAATTTGGGGAATTTTGGTCTGACTTCCTGAATCAAACACGTGGCAGGATAACCCTTGGTTCATCCCTGAGTGCAGCATGCCCAGAAGAAGGCAAGGCCTGCTGACACGGGAATGAACCACATGGTCAAGACTGTTGTGTCTTTGGAGTTACTTTCATGCCTCTTTCCTTGTATTCGTGCTCATCTCAATGAGAGTGCTGCTCCAACGGAAAGGTGCACATGGCCATTCTCCAAGCAATACTTACAGCCTCCTCAGCTTGTCTCTTGTAGGATTTCACCTTCATCTGCAGCTTGTCCACCAGATCCTGGAGCCTGAGAATGTTCTTCCGGTCTTCCTCAGACTACAGTGGTTGGTAAGAAGGACAGACAGAGAGTTGGTTTCCCCACACCTCCAGAAAACATGTCCTCTTGGAGTTCATGGGAAAATGCTTTGGCTTTCTGTGAGAAGGGTGTGTCAGCACAAAGATGCCTCTTGCCTTACCTGGTAGGTCAGCTCCTTCACCCTCCTCTCGTACTTGCGCACACCCTTCACGGCTTCAGCACTGCGCTTCTGCTCAGCATCTACCTCCCCTTCCAGCTCCCGCACCTGCAATGAAAAATCTGTCTTTGGAGCTTCTCCGCTATTTCTCCAAGGGACGTGCTCCCTTGTGCACAAATACCAGCCCTACGCACCCTGGCCTCCAGCTTCTGGAGTTGCTTCTTGCCTCCCTTCAGTGCCAGCTGCTCAGCCTCATCCAGACGGTGCTGCAGGTCTTTCACCGTCACGTCCAGGTTCTTCTTCATTCTCTCTAGGTGGGCACTGGTGTCCTGTTCCTTCTTCAGCTCCTCCGCCATCATGGCCGCCTGGAGAGGCAAAGCAGCAAAGCCAGGTCGGGGCCAAAGACATTTTGGGGGAGGATACATCCAACATCCTCAGTGACAGAGTTCCCCAACTCACATCTGTGATGGCCTTCTTGGCCTTCTCTTCAGCATTGCGGGCTTCCTGGATTGTCTCCTCCATTTCACCCTGAATTTGCACGATGTCTGTTTCCAGCTTCTTCTTGGTGTTGATCAAGCTGGTGTTCTGTGTAACAGGAAGGATAGGATTTGTACTGTCAGATCTAACACCTCCACATCAAGAGTTGAGAGTGAGAGTAATGTTTATGAAAGTATTTAATTCAAAGGTCCTCTTTAGAGCCCTAGTGGCAAACCAGACATGGGTGCCTGGCTGGACTGGTCATGTCACAGCTTTGCTCTTCAAATACGTACACAGCAAGATGCATAGCAACAAGCAAGACATATAGCAGTCTCGTTCTATGTTATCTCCTGTGGGCAGGATTCATATCCAGCAAAGTATCTGACCTGGGTATGGAGGAGCTGCACACGCTCGCTTGCATCCAGAAGCTCCTGCTCAGCCACTTTCCTTGACCGCTCTGTCTGCTCCAGGGCTGCCCGCAGCTCCTCAACTTCAGCCTGTAAGAGGTTTGCTCTGCGCTCCACCATGGCCACCTGTTCCTTCAGGTCTTCCTGCGTCCTGAGAGCATCGTCCAAGTGTATTTGAGTATCCTGTAAGAGAGGAAAGAGAGATTATGAGGTGGCTGATCACTGCAGCACTGTTGGACAGAGACATCAGAGACATTTCCTGCTCTTTTAATAAATTATTTGTACAATTACAATGTTGGTGTAACATGAGGCAAGATAGATGCCTACGTGCACATACTTTGCTTTATACCTTTAGCACTGCCTGTGTGTTTCTCAGGTTCTTTTGTGCCTCTGCAGCCACACGGTTGGCATGGCTCAGCTGGATCTCCATTTCATTCAGGTCTCCCTCCATCTTCTTCTTCAGCCGCAGGGCTTCGTTCCTGCTCCTGATCTCAGCATCCAGGGTGCTTTGCATGGACTCCACAATTCTGAGGTGATTTCTCTTCAGCTGGTCGATTTCCTCATCTTTCTCTGCTATCTTCCTGTCAATCTCAGACTTGACCTGGTTGAGCTCCAGTTGGAGGCGCAGGATTTTCCCCTCTTCA